TATCATGATACGTATCGTATCACCAGATTCTTGCCAATACACCGCCCTAATTATAGCTAAACATTTCTGGGAATATTTTAAGTAGAATTTTCTGAATAACACCATGTGACTGTCTGCTCATAATCACTAAAACAAAAACTGGACTGGACTTAATAAGTCATTACGAGGAGAAATTGACACTCAGATGCAGATCTGTGTTCCAAATATGTGCACATATCAGTTAAATAGCTTTTGGCTGGGGATACAACGTTACTGTATGTAATGTGAGTGAGGAGAAGAAGCAATCCTCCTTCCTCAACTCCTCTCCCGTCATCAAGGTGTAAGTGTCTGGTTGCCATGGGATACCCCTGAACAGAGAAGGCAGCCGGCGAGAACAGCTCCGCCATTAACAGCGAATGAGAGTGTGTATGAGGGGTTATGGGGCCGCTGTGGACAGCCCTCGCCTCCCAAATTGAATTGCAAAGCAGCATCCGCGCAACAGTTCAGCAACAACAGATCAATGAAGCCTGTGTGTGTGTGTGTGTGTGTGTGCTGTCTCTACCTGCCACTTTCTCTGCTGCAGTATTTTCTCACACAGTCTCCTTATAAATCATCACCACTTGATTCCACTGTTTAGTGAAGGCATTTATCAGAAATGCTTCACACAGGGTCTGACATTAACACCCGTCTCAGGAAGGTGTGCCACTGGTGTGTGACTTCTGTACAACATAACAAGTTAGCTCTGTTTGCTCTTATTGATTAATCAATCAATTGTTAAGTGTAGTGAGTGCCAGAATGCCGTGAAAAAATATCCATCACAACTTCCCAGAATGGCAGGGGTGGAATGCAACAGATAACATTTGAATCAAATACTGCACTTCAGTACACATTTACTACAGTACTTACAGTACATTTTACCTTCATCAAACTATTGCAGCTTCTGTGATGTGGATGTTGCACTTGGACATGTGCAGCCCTAATGCACATGGGGCTGTAGTAAGAGACACTCTGAATACAACAACTGAATACAAAAGAGTTTGGAGGGTTGTTTTCTGTTTTAACCATTCCAAAAACAAAAGAATAAAATGTATTGAATGGATTAAACACTATGTTTACCTGCTCTGCTCTAACATAAGCTGCAAATGTCACAAAGTCAGGAAAGTCCAAGTATAGAAAATCACATTTGAACCAGAAGATAATGATGATACAATTAAAGAAAGAATTATATATATAATAATGGACAATTAAAACTTGCTTTGGTAGAAATGTATGATTTTGACTTTTCTGAGACTTTAATGTTTGTTTGGTTTATTTTTAGCACAGGGTCTGTTTGCAGCAGCAGTTGGTACCATCCTCTCAGGCTGAAGCTGAACATTTTGCTGTGATTTTTTGCTTTCTTCACCCCCTCCCCTCTGTATTTCTGGTGGCAATCATTAAAATAATGAGGTCATTTCAATCAACAGACACCCGCACAACCAGCTCAGCATTGCAGGAGGGGGTTTCCCCCCCTGAGTGTCAGGAGTGGGGTATAATATGACACCCACAGCATCATTAGAGAATCACAAATCACTTAATGCACCTCTAATTACATGCAATAGGCCCCAGGAGGACGCATAGACACTAGTATGTGAATGCAAAACACACACACCGGACACACACGCACACACACACACACACACACACACACACACACAGACCTTTTATATACACAATGAGGAGAGCGAGTGAAACAGCATCTCATTAGACACTGCGTTAAAGCTCCGTCCCTTACTAAACACACACTAAGGGTAAAATGCCCAAATATCACACACACACACACAAATACAAGAGCGACAGAGGAACTAATCATACGTTGGCTGCAGACACTGATGCATAATGTATGTGTGGAGCCTGTTGCCCTGCTAGAACCGGGTGATCAGATGCTCAGCTGGGAGTGTGTATGAGAATCAGTGTGTGTGTGTGTGTGTGTGTGTGTGTGTGTGTGGGGACTCCGCAATCAAGGAGCCTGACTGACTGACAGGCTTTGTTGCCTCGGAGGCTTTGTTGCCTCACTTCAAGGCCCTGTAGAATCACATCAGTGTGTATGTGTGGGAGTCCTGTGCGAACGGCAGAGCAAGCAGACAGACAGAAAAGCAAACCGTCATCGCCAGCTGAGTGAGAGGCAACACCGTCAGAGTTTCACCTGCGGCATAAAAGGTACAAACTGTGTGTATTCATGGCTTTGGGAGCAGTGCTGTGGCCGTCCCCGGGCTTGTATGTCTTGTGCTACTTCCAAAGCATCTGTCTGTGCATATAGTGAATATCTGCTGCTGAATACATTAAATCATCCCCCTCAACGCACAGAGTCAGTCATGTGTGAAAGCAACAATGCATTCTGGGCACAAAGAGCCTGTAGTACACACAATGACTACAAGAACTGACGTGGAAATTAGCTCAAACAAACAACCGCTTCATGAAGCTCTCAGGTGTGGTTGGAATCACTGGTCTTTGGTAAAAAGGAAGGAAATCCGCAGATACAAACTGATCCATTTATCATTCCTGTTCCATCCAGACAGATCTCTTTCCATCAGTTATCACAGCACAAAAAACAAGCCTTCATAAACGTACATTACTCTCAAAATCAAACCTAGATTTCACTACAAATGTCTTAAAACTTTTAATGATGTACTCCAGCAATTCTGTCAGAACTGTGATTCCATAAGACTAGGGGAAGAGACAAAGAAAAGGTTGAGACATCCTGAATCTTTGTCTGTACAGCCTTACCTTGCGGGGTAGATAGAATCCATCTCGTCAGGCTTCAAGCTATGCCCTTGTGTCCAACCCCAATGGATTGGACCAGTGAGCATTCTTTAATGAACGACTTGCAGTGTGATGCAGCGATAAAGTTGAGACTGTTTGCTCAAAAACAACAATGGCAGCTGCTAAAGAGGTTAGTGTAGATGCTGCTAGCATCACTATTTCTACAATGAAAGAAGAGCAAAGAACTGCACTGGAGGCCTTTCTCCGTGGAAAAGATGGTTCATCCAATCATCTGCCAAGTATTATTTTTGAAAGAGCCTGCCCTTTTCCAAACAGTTTCCGACTTCCCAGCCAAGGCATTATAGTTTGTATTCTTCTTTAGTTTTTAGTTTTATTTCGTTTTCAATTTAATTTAGTTTCAGTTCTTTTCCAGAGTGGGTGTGCTCATTTCAGTTACATATACACATATATGCACCAATGATTTGACCAAACTGACAAAGAAGGAAGTTTTGTAACCAAAACTAAAATTATTTTTCACAGCCTGTTTTAGTTTAGTTTTATAATAAAGAATCAATCTTTGAAACTAACATGCAGACCCTAACGCTGTGCCCATCAATAAAAAAACAATTCCTCTTCATGGCCATGGTATGAGTTGATCTACCGCTCCCATAACGCTCGTCCATTTGGCTTCACCAACACATTCCACCACCCAGTGCTCCACCAGCAGCACCTGCTGCAACTGGGCAACCAGCCTGGCCTCTCACACTCACACACACTCACACACACTCACACAGCATCCAGCTCGTATGTGCAGGGAACACACACTCAACCTTTTCCTTCTCTCTAAATGGAGCTAGCGACCGCTGTGCCGAGTTGGGCTGCCAACGCCTGGCACTGGCTGGGTGGGAGCAGCACCCCATCTGTTTGCTTGGCAACAAGACAACTAAAGATGGTGGGGGGGGTGTTGTTGTTAGGGTGTTGGGTGGTGGGGAAGCAGCGGTTACCACTTTCTGATCTCTTAATCGTTATGAATTATACTTACATGATGGGGGTAAGAGCTGCAGGGGGGCAGGCTGAGTCAGAATGAGAACATAGACTGTGTGTGAGTGAAAGTGAAAGTGTGTGTGTGTTACAATGGTCCAGTGTTCCAGTGCCCGAGCTAAGCTGGCTCTATCAGCCCTATTCAGCGCCCTATTGGCCGGCCGCAGGACGCTACTGTGGTGATGTCATCATCCTGTCATGCTGTCAAACACTGCTTTGTCCTTTTATTCACTTTAAGGTGGTGAGGAGAGAGAAGGAAGAAGAGGGAGAAGAGGGAGAAGAAGGGAGGAGGCTGGGGCAGGAGGTGTTGAAGGTGACAGGCTCATTTTCATTCAGGCACATGTTCTAGTTGCTCCCCTGGGTCCTTCAGTCATGGGAGGCTTTTGTGTCCACACTTCATGACTCACTGTCACCTGACTGTATTAGCAGATTAGCAGCTGCTGTTTATCTACACCTAGTTATGAGCTCTCAGAGAGCGCACTGATGAAAGGAGAGCAGATAACGCTCTCCGCACCGAGGGAATAAGTGACAGAGAGCGTGGAGGCAGAGGTGGTAACATATGCAGGGTGATAACGCACTGTCACATCCGAGCACTCAGGGATTCGGAGGGGGAAATGTGTCCCCCATAGGTCCATTTATGCCTGTTAAGCTGTGGTTGCTACAGTGGCATGAGTCCAGCATTCTTTACTCATGACACAACCATGACAACAGGCTGCCAGCAGGCAGGCTGCAAGTGAGAGAAGAGCTCTGCTGCTGCTTCCACCACCAGTTAAAGTCAAGAAAACCCCCTTTGACCTGTTGCATCCCTATAAATATATACTATGTATAATATAGAGATCTCCTACAGAAATGTATTGAGACATATACAGACAGTGGTATGTTATGTTATATGTTTGTTTTTCCACAAAAAGCTTAGTTTCCACATTAAAATGCTTAAAAGTGACCTCCTCCTTCTTCCTCATTTATCTATGAATATGAATATTTCTGAGTTTTCCTGCTAGACACAAGATCGGTGTATGTGCCCTGGTGCCTTCAAGTTTCTACATCACAAAATAGAAGTTGCATAATGGACTAGGATGCACCTCACGCTACATGGCATACTTTAATCTGACCGAAAAAGCATCAAAGACACCTTCAAACAGGAGACAAAGAATCAAGCTTCTATCCAAATATAGTTTATTTAACCAAATTTTCATCAAATCATCAAAATAAAGAGTTTTTATCCACTACTGTCATGTGAATATTAGGAGTTGGGCGTGCCAATGTGAAACTTTCACCATATCTTGACAGTAGTACACGAGACAGATCATTTGTGGGGAAAAAATGAACCAAAATCAGGTTCCTCTGAAGCTTTAAGTCACTGTGTCACTAAAATGACAGCTAGTACTACATACAAAGATATGAATTAACTCGTTTTGTAACTTGCTTATTGTCTCTTTTCTGTTCTATCTATAACCCTGTCTATTCTTATATTTTGTTCCTATTACTATTTTTAACTGTTAACAGGTTACTGTAGTAGAAGAGTGTTTATCTCAGCCAACATATCCTGTATAAATACAAGTTAAACACTGTAGATTGAGCAGGATGCTGCGAGGGACACATGTTATTATGAAGATTAACTGTGTAGAAGAGGCAGGTCATGGCTGTCTGAGCTGTTGTGTGTCAGCAAATGGCAGCTGTTTTCACAGCAGCTGCAGGGTTATAACCACGTGGTGACGGCGATGTGCCTGATGGGAGTGAGTCACTCTTTGTCGAGAGATAGACAGAGATATATAGAAGTTCATTATTAAGGCCTTTTAGGTCTCTCTGTTTTTAGGATGGCTTTTGATAGTTCATTTAGGTTTCCTTCAGATGTTCGCAGAGGAAACAGATGGTATTGGATGGATGCACCTCAACCACAGAGAGGAGATCTTTATTTAAAACAAGTCAATTGGTCTTTAGTGTCTGTTTAATAAGTAGATTTGATCATACTTTAGAGAGAAGCTTCTCTGTGTTCTGATCTGTTCCCATTGTCTTTTTAACAAAAATGCTGTCCACTAACTCTTGCCAGTCTGTTCTCTGTTTGTTTTTTGTTCGACACTTCATGCATGGATGTTCACAATTAAACACTCCAGCTCAAAAGCCTTTCTTTCCTGTAAAACCTCTACTGGAAGCTTTTGAAACAGATTAGTAAACAAGAACAGTAATTCTGTCTAAAAAAAGAAACTCAAAGCAGCAAATTGTTGCTGCTTTGAGTAATGATGCTTTTGATCATTATTTCAATAATGGCTTTTAGTTGTGGATTTATGCTAAAAGAAGTTGAGGAATGCTGGAGTTTCTTAGTTGCATATAAGTTGCATTATGGATGAAAAAAACGGAATTCTTAATAATAATGTTATGAAACATCTTGCTAACAGTGACGGAGGGAGAGCATGATCTGTGCTGGCAGAGCTGACAAAGGCAGTGTGCTGTCTGAAGGCGGAGTGTCAAAGATGTAGCAATCCACACAGCGAGGGACGACTAAAGCATCATGTAGACTCGCCGTTCCCGACCTGTCGCGCAACAATGTGACGTCATGGGAGCGCCGTAACTATTTATACTTGC